AATGTCTAACCATGGGGTACCAAGTTACCCTGCAACCAAAGCTACCCATTAAGAACTGGATGCTGTCTATCAACAAAGTCATAAAGTTGAAAATGCATACCAGCACTCCATCATTAAATGAAAGTGGTACATACAAGACTGGGCTAAAGCAGAACCTGCAGGCACAAGTGAGTTGCATTGGGAAGTGATCCAAATACCCCTGGTATCAAATCTTGTCACATTACCTTTCCTCTCTAAGTCTACACCTATGCCTTCATGGGGAGTTCCTTATAATCAGTTGACAAAGGAAGAGAAAACTCATGCTTGCTTTACAGCTGGTTCTGCACAATATGCAGGCACCACCCAAAGTGTAAAGGAGCAGCACTACATCATCTTTCTGAGACTAATATAAAGCAGAGTGGTAGTCTCAGTGGGTAGAACTTAGAGCAGAACAGAGCACCTGGTTGTTCATTTTGCTTAGAAGGAAAAATGGCCAGATGTGCAAATGTATACGGATTCATGGACTGTGGCCAATCCTTTGGCTGGATAATCAGGGACTTAGAAGGAACATGATTAGAAAATTGGTGACAAGGAGGTTGGTGAAGAGGTATGCAGATAGACCTCTCTGAATGGGCCAAAAAAGTAAAGATATTTGTGTCTGGTGTGAACTCACAACAAAGGATCACCTCAGAAGGGAATTTAAACAACCAAGTGGACAGTATGACACATTCTGTGGAAACTAATCATGTTCTTTCTTCAGCAACGCCTGTCACTGCACAACAGACTCATGAACAAAGTGGCCATGGTGGTAGGGATGGAGGTTATGCATTGTCTCAGCAGTGTTGGCTTCTACTCACCAAAGTTGATTTGGCTACAGTCACTGCTGAGTGCCCAATCTGCCAGAAGCAGAAACTAACTCTGAGTACAAGACATGGGGTCATCCCTCAGGGAGATCAACCAGTAACCTGGTGGCAGGTTGTTTCCATCAAACCACCTCCATCATGGAAAGGACAGCATTTTGTACTTACTGGAATAGACACTTTCTCTGGATATGAATTTGCCTCCCCTGCATGCAATTGTTCTGCCAAAACTACTATCCATGGACCTACAGAATGCCTTATCCTCCATTATATTATCACATACAGCATTACGTCACACCAAGGGACCCACTTCACAGAAAATGAAGTGTGACAATGGGTCCATGCTAATGGAATTCACTGGTCATAGCATGTTCCTAATCATCCTGAAGCTACTGGATTGACCAGATGTTGGAATGGCCCTCTAAAAAGGCAATTACAGCAACCTAGATGGCAATACCTTACAGCGTTGGCAAATGTTCTCCAGGTGGCTGTATATGCTCTAAACGAGCATCCAATATATGGTACTGTTTCTCCAATAGCCAGGACTCATGGGTCCGGAAACTAATGAATGGAAATGGGAGTGACACCACTCACTATTACTCCTAGTGACCAACTTGGAAATTTGTTGCTTCCTGTCCCTACAACCCTATGTTCTTCAGGTCTTCATGTTTTAATTCAGAGGGAGGAATAGTCCCACCTGGAGACAAAGCACTGACTCCACTGAACTGGAAGTTAAGAATGCTCCCTGAGTGTTTTGCAATCTTCTTGCCTCTTGATCAACAGGCAAAAAAAAGGGAGTTACTGTATTGGGTGGTGTGATTGATCCTGAGTACCAAAGGGAAACAGGATTGACATTAGATAATAGTGGTAAAGAAAAATATGCATGGAATCCAGAAGATTCTGTAGGACATCTTTTACTACAACCATGTCCTGTGATTAAAGTCAGTGGTAAACTGTAGCAACTCAGTAGCCAGACCCTTCAGGAATTAAGGTTTGTGTCATACCATCAGGCAAAGAACCACTACAAGCTGAGGTACTTGCCAAGTACAAAGGGAATCTGGAATACGTAATAGAAGAAGGTAGTTCTAAATACTAGCTATTGCCATGTGATCAGTTGCAGAAATGAGAACTGTAATTTCTTATATATACATATATATATATATATATATATATATATAATAGAGAGTGAGAGTGAGAAAGAGAGTGTGTGTGTTCTGGTGTGGCACTGTAGGGTAAACACTCGACCACAAGGTCAGTTTGAACTTTAATGTAGGCAGCTCCAATCCACCAGCCAGTCTTCAGAAAACAGGGTCAGTATGGGTCAGAAATGACTTGACAGCACTTGACAACAACAATGTACATGTATATTAAATATTTTTGCATGGCTCATTGGTGATATATATATATGAGATATAAATTGGGCCAGTGTGTTTTCAATTGTACATGTTTGAGTTGCATCATGTTACATGCAAGTGCAAGTACGAATTCACAGTTATCTTTATTTAGAGATCCTGCATATGGTTTCTAGGTGCCAAATTTACAAGGGGTGGTTTGTGATAGTTAAAAGTTTTGTGTCAACGTGACTGGGCCAGGACTCCCAGTGGTTTGGCAATTGACATGTGATTGTCCCCATCATGAGATCTAATACAATGTAGTTAACTCTGTGATTAACTGATTGTGTGCGGGTATAGTTAATTTTATGAGGATTGGCAGTAACTAATCAATTGAAAGGATGTTTCCCGGGGGGTATGGCCTACTTCCAGTGTAATAGACACTCAGGTGAAGCTTGCTCGCTTTCTGCTGAGTCTGGATCTCATATCTGCCTCATCCTCTGGTTCCTTGGACATGAGTCAGTGGCCTGCTGTATATCTGTCTATCTGTCTGTATGTCTGCCTGCCAATCTTGATTCATCTGACCTGGACATGTGAAATATTTCCTTGATAAAAATTCTCTTTATGTATATATGTATATATATTTCACTGGTTTTGCTTATCTGAGAACACAGTCTAAGACAATATTATAATGATATGTGCAGAACTGGAGTTAAAAAATCAAAAGGGAAGAACTTGCTCAGCATTTCTCAAGCTGAAAGAACTGAACTGAAAATTCAAGCCTCGATTTGAAATATTGAAGGATTCCATGGGCAAAATACTAAATGATGCAGAAAGCATCAGAAGAAGTTGGAAGAAACACACAAAAAGAAATGATTGCTCTTCAGCTACTTCAAGAGGTAGTGTATGATCAAGAACCAATGCTATTGCAGGAAGAAGTTCAAACTACATTGAAGTCTTTGGCAAAGCTCCAGGAATTGACTGAACACAAACAGAAGGAAATCTTTCAACAAATTGATGAAGTACTGGAGGCACTCATTCATCTATGCAAAAAAAAAAGGAAGATAGTTGTCTGGCCAACTAACAGGAAGTGATCTACATTTGTGCCCATTCCAAGGTGACCCTACAGAATGCAGAGACCATCAAACTGTATCATTACTATCACATGCAAGTAAAATTTTGGTAACAATAATTCAAAAACAGTTGCAACAGTACATAGATAGAGAATTGCCATAAATTCATGACAGATTCAGAAGAGAAGTGGAACTAGAAATGTTGTTGTTGTTGTTAAGTGCCGTCGAGTCTGTTCCGACCCATAGCGACCCCATATAGGGTTTCCGAGGAGCAGCTGGTGAGCTTGAACTGCCAACCTCACAGTTCAAACGGCTTTTCAGTTTGGCACATTAACCCACAGGCCACACCAGGACTCCGCTGCTAATGTCTGATGGATCTTGGTTAAAGGCAGAAACCACCAAAAAGATGTTAACTTGTGATTTATTGACTATGCAACAGCTTTTTTGGCATAGTGATTCTGTGTATTCCTTCCATTTTCTTAACTTTCTTTTTTTCTTTTTTTTTGGAGTTTGGCATTTATTGAGGAGAATACAGGTTAGAAAAGCTGTATTTTCTGACAGGGTTAAAAGACCAGGACACTGGAATGACAGTATCATTCTGAGAGCTTTTGAGATCTTTGCCTCCTTTAGTCCAAAACGGGGATGCCAGCACGATGCACAAATAAAGGCTGATACGATCTCAGAAAGCTGGAACCTCTCACTTCTCCACTGCAGGTCACATCCCTAATCACAGACCCCACATTCTAACTGAACTACATCAAAAGTGAAATTGCTCTTTAATGAGGGTTGGAAGGGACAGCTGCCCAGGCAGGAATGAGGGAGGGTTTTACAAGTGCAGGCCCTTTCAGGCCAAATCCACCCAAGTCTCTTGGATTTAGTTCTTTAGCTCCAGGGCAGCATCCTCACAGGCATGAAACAGGGCTACGCTATAGCCTATGGTGTCCAGGGTAAAGCATCCAAGGATGGTCACTAGCGAACAGGCAGGCAATGACCACAGGACCTCTCAACAGGTCAAGGGCGGCTGCAGGCCCAGGGAGGGTCCTATGGTCAGAGCCGCCCAGGTAGATCCAAGGAGCACTAGCCACCACAGCCACTGTGCTAGCTTCATCATGGTCCCCACACTGTGGATCATCTAACCTCAGCTTCTCTCCTCCGTGATTCACCCTGTCCTCATCCTCTCCAAACAGTTCTCAGCCTAGGCTTCCCTCCATGTCCTGCATCTCCCTCTCATTTGCTTTTGGTGCTCCTATTTCCTTCAATATTTTGCCCATGCAGCCCTTCAATATTGAAGCAACCCGAAGCTTCAATGTTTTTCTTCAGTTTATTCAGCTTGAGAAATGCAGAGCTGATTCTTTCCTTTTGGTTTTCTAACTCCAGGTACTTGACAGGTTTCATTATATTTTACTTTGTCCTATGAACTGCCCTTTGAAATTGAAGTTCTAAGGACCCTGGTGGTGCAACGGTTAAGCTCTTAACTGCTAGCTCAAATCCAGTCATTGGAACCACACCTCAGACTCCTATGACCAGGTTAGGGGTAGAGAAGGTAATATGGAAATGTCCCTTTCTCCCTGGAGTTTCTACTTTACCCTCACATAACTTGTGTCAGCTCCTTCTGCCTAAATACACATGACTCATTCCCAGTTCATACGACTATTGGTTCTCCAATTCCTGGAAAAGCCAGCACGAAGGTTATTGGTGTAAAGTTCGTTCTGACTTGTCAAGAAGTAAATGAGCCCTATATCCCCAGCGCCAGGGCCATGGCGCCCTGGGCATTCCTCCTGCTGCTCTCCAGAGCCCTGGTCCTGACTCAGATCCGGGCAGGTGAGGGTGGGGTCGGCAGGATAACAGCCTTTCCGGAGGGAACAGCAAAGGGAACTTCATGCTGTGGCGCAGGAACCTCAGGGAAGCTGCTTCCACGCTGCCCTAGACCCAGAACCACCAGCCCTGTCCCTTCTTCTAACCCCCGTCTCCCATCCTCTCCTCCATGGACCCCGACCCGGACACCGTGCGGGTGCGGGGTCATGTATTCTCACCCACTTCCCGCTTCCAGATACCCACTCCTTGAGGTATTTCGTCACCGCCATGTTCTCGCCTGGCCAAAGGGAGCCCCGTCTCATCGCAGTCGGCTACATGGACGACACACAGCTTGGGCGGTTCGACAGCGATCCCCGGAATCCGAGAGCAGAACCGGTATTACAGTGGATGGAGCGGATGGAACAGGAGTTTTGGGACGAGCAGACACAGATCTCTAAGGAGAGATTACGTACCTACCGAGAGCAGCTGAGGACCCTGCGCGAATACTACAACCAGAGCGAGACCGGTGAGGCATGCCCGGGTCATGGGTCACTTGTGCCCTGTTATACCTGGGCGGGTTGCCCCAGTCTCAGGGTCTAACTTCGAGCCAAGGTTGCGGACTTGCGCAGCCCCTTTACCTAGAAGATCCTGGGAGTTTTCTCTGGTTTGGTCTGTAATCAATCACCGCCAGTCCTGACCGCGGGGGCGGGGCAGACAGCTGGGAGGGGCTTGCGGAAGGGCGGCGCTAACCGCGGGGGCGGGTCAGAGTCTCACACCTATCAGGGTCTGTATAGCTGCGATGTGGGTCCGGATGGCCGCCTCCTCCGTGCGTACAATCAGCGAGCTTATGATGGTGCCGATTACATCTCCCTGAATGAGGACCTGCTTACCTGGACAGCGGCGAATACAGCCGCTCAGATCACCAAGGGCAAATGGGAGGAAACCGGTTGTGCTGAGTTCTACAAGACTTACTACCTGGAGGGCAAGTGCCTGGAGTGGATCCCTAAAATCCTTGAGGTGGGGAAGGAGACGCTGCTGCGCACTGGTAAAAGGGGCTGCAGGACACCCCTCTGAACTCCCTTTACGCTGGGACTATGTCCACCCTACTGACCTCTTCAAAGGAGGGGAAGACAATGGTACCCTATAAGAAATAGAGGCTCTATAAGACTGAGTAACTGGTCCATAAGGTTTCTTTTCTCTTTTTTTAAGTTGTAAATTGGGTGAAGGTTCATAAAGAAAATCAGTTTTCCATTAAACAATTTGTACACATTTTGTTTTATGTCCTTATGTAATTTATTCACATTTTGTTTTATGTCTTTATGTAATCCCCACAATGTAACATCAGGAGCTCTGGTAGTTTCAGGGTTACCAGTCAGGATGCTAACCTCAGGTCAGCAGTTGGAAACTACCAGCGATTTCATGGGAGAAAGATGAGCCTTTTCTGCTCCCATTAAGGTTTACAGCCTTGGGAACCTGACAGAGTCCCTGAGTCAGAATTCGACTCCATGGCACACCACCAACACCACGTACCTTCCTTCCCCACTTTGTTTCCTTATTCCATTCCTCCTTCTTTCCTAACCTTTCTGACTTTGTCCTTGGGTAAGTGCTGCTCTTTTGGTCTCCATTGGTTGAGTATTCATTCTAAAGAGTGCATATCGCACTGGTGTTATTCTTCCCTTATAGACCTGCATGTCCTTTGACTAGACATTGAACCATGGGAGTGAGTTCATTTGAGATATGAAAGGTCACTAAGAGCCAAAGTTTCAAGGGTTACACCAGTTTCTATTCAAGAAAGCCTGGTCTTTCTTATGATTTTGAGTTTTGTTCCACATGTTTTTCCCAGTCTATGCAGGACCTTCTAATTGTGATGATTTTCATAGCATTGGTAGCTGGGCACCATCTACTTTTCTGAGCTCAGGAGACTGATGTTCCATTATTCCATGGACTAATTATTTCCCTAACTCTTAGATTTTCTTCATTCTTGTTTCCTCTGGACAGGAAGAAACCAATAATTGTACCTGGCTACTCATAAGTTTTTTAAGACCCCAGTTGCTTCTCATCAAAATAGGATGTAGAACATTGTCTTTGTGGACTCTATTATGCCAGTTGACCTTGGTATACACCATACCATGGTCCTTATCCTGCAGCCCAGTGCCTGGACCTGAAGGTGTTTTCTATATAAGAAGTTTTCATAACTTCATTGTTGTTGTTAAGTACCATCAAGCTGATTCCAAATCATAGCGACTCTGTATAGAGTTTCTGAGAAATGGCTAATGGGTTTGAACAACCAACCTTGCTGTTAGTGGTCCAGTGCCTATCCTACAGTATTACACCAGGATTCCTTGCCCTCTGTATGTTTTGCCATATTCATGGATATATTTGTATATGTAGGTGCGGTACCTTGAATTTACTTGATAATGACTTTTCTATCCAATACCTTAATTCTTATCAAGTGCTTGGATGACCATGCAAATAAAGTATACAGGGCTGTAAGACTGGGATTAGTTAGATTTGCCATTCAGCTAGATTTAACAGGAGTGATCTCGCAAGTAGGAATGTAAGATCCCAGGACCCTTAAGAAGGCAGAGCATGGGAGGAGTATGAAGTCCCTACTTAGAAAAGTGGCAACAGCAGTGGCAGCTTCAGAGGAGGTGCCATGAAGAGACAGAGCTATTGCGAGCTCTAGGCCCATGGCAGAGCCCAAGGGGCCACATGGCTGAAAAGCTGAAGATAAGAGTGAGGGATGTCTGCAGTATGGCAGAGAAAACAAGATCCTGACTGGAGATTTGCTGTGTCCTGAGTTGTTCTTTGATCCTGAATTGTACCTAGTTCAGTTCCCTAATAAACCCCATAATCATAAGTATTATTATGAGGTCTGTGTGGTCATTGCAATGGATTATCAAACTCAGATATAAAACAAAGTGTGCTATGAGAGGGTTGGTTGGACTCAAAATAAAGAAGATTGTAGGGTATAAGCATTTCTGACCTGCTTCATAGGAATCGGTCTTGGGCTGGTTTTGAGTTTGATTCTCTTTCCCCCTTGTAAAGCCAGGGAAAGTCAGACATTAGTCCTACATGGTTTTGCCAGTAGGTAAATAACCACATGAAAATATCCTCTGGCAAATGTGTATATTTATTTGTAGGTATAAGCCCTCTCTCCCTGTCAATCATCTGTGTAGTCTCATGTCTACCTATGCATCCACTCATAGATCACTACAGGACTGTATATATTACAGTATTTACTTCTGTTGCCTTTAACTTTTGCACTCCTCTCAGTCTTTCCTTGTTGCCATCATTTTTTGACTGCACACTTACTGTATACTGCCTTCCCTGTCACCCAGTTTAACTCATGTTTACCTTCTACCTAGTAATGCTCTTCCCCTCTTATCAAAGAACCATCAAAGAATGTTTGTTTTAGTATGAAAACCTTTTCTTAACTTCTTATAGTAGTGGTCTCAGACTGTATCTGCCCTTTGGTGATTGACTTAATTCACTGAACACAGTGTCCTCCAGATTCATCTGTGCTATGAAGTGTTTTGCAGATTTATAGTTATTCTTTAATGTCATGTAGTATTCCACTGTGTGTGCGTGCCATAGTTTATTTATCCTTTTTTCCACTGATGGGTATTTAGGTTGTTTCCTTCCTTTTATTATAGTGATTAATGTTGGGATGAACATGGGTGTGCTTGTATCTATTTTTGTCACGTTCTTATTTTTCTAGAATATCTACCAAAAGGTGGGATTGCTGGATCATATGGCATTTTTATTTCCAACTTTTTAAGGAAGAGCCATAACATTTCCCACAATTGTGCCATTTTATAGTCCCACCAGCAGTGTATGTGAGTTACAGTCTCCTCACATGCTACCCAGAATTTCTTATTTTCTGTTCGCTGTTTTTCAAATCTTTGCTATTAATGCTGGGATGAGATGATATCTCATTGTTGTTTTGGTGTGCATTTCTGTAATGGTGGCACTGTAAAATAGGTGTTGGACACCTAACGACAAAGTTAGCATATCAAACCTACCAGCAGCTCTGTGAAATAAAGATGAGGCTTTCTGTTCCCAAAAAGATTCATGGTGTAGGAAACCCTATAATGTGGTCCCTATGAATTGGAATCAACTCTATGGCAGTGTGTTTGATTTTTCATTGTATGGAACGGTTACTAATTGAAAGTATATTTTCATATTATTTGTTGAGTTACTTCTTTGATAAATGTCTTCTGTTTATGTGCTCTAAGGAGCTCTGGTAGCGTAGTGGTTACGAATCGGGCTGCGAACCTTAAGGTCAGTGGTTCGAAACTACCAGCCGCTCCGCGGGAGAAAGATGAGGCTTTCTACTCCCGTAAAGATTTACACCTTCGGAAACCCTGTACAGGGTCGCTATGGGTCGGAACCGACTCGACGGCACTTAACAACAACAACAACAACAAACCTGATTTTTAATTTAATTATTTGTATTTTTCTTGTTAGGATATTAAAGTTTTCCATAAATTTTAGAGATTAGTTTCTTGTCTGATATGCTATTGCAAAATTTTTTCCCAGTCTTTGTGATCTGCTTTGATGAACGGTTTTGATGCACATCAGTATCTAATTTTTGTAAGGTCCCAGACATCTCGATTGTCTTCTCTTGATTGTGTGTTTCAGTTATGTTTTATGGTAAGTTTATCCATACTTTTTCATATATGATCTTTGTAGGTTTAGGTTTTACCTATGACATATGGATTCTGTTTCATGTTTATGCAAATAGATATCCAATTTTGCCAGCACCAATTGTGAAACAGATTATCCCATCCTCATTTAATGAGGTTCTGACTATTGTCAAAGATCATGTATCTATGTTGTTGTTGTTGTTAGCCACCATCCAGTCAGTTCAGGCTCAATATGACACTATGCACAAGAGAAGAGAAAAAGAAAAAGCACTGCTCAGTCCCAAGTCGTCCTCACGTTGTTGTTATGTTTGAGCCCATTATTACAACTCATTGTTGGTGATCTATCTCAATGGGGACCTTCTTCTTTTTTTGTTTACCCTCTACTTTGCCAAGCATGATGTCCCTTCACTGGGACTGATACTGCCTAACAGTATGTCAAAAGTATGGAAAACAAAGTCTTTGCATCTCACTAATCAGAAGGATTCTAACTGCACTTCCAAGATAGATTTTTCCTTTGGCAGTTCATGATACTTTCAATATTCTTCATCAGCACCATAATTTCAATGCGGCAGTTCTTCTCCTATCTTCCTTATTCATTAAATAGCTTTCAAATGCATTTGAAAATACATAGGTTTGGGCCAGACCCAAGCCTCTCTAACACAGTAAGGAGGTCTTTTGCAGCAGATTGGCCCAATGCTGCTTCCAAGAGTGTTGATTGTGGATACAAGCAAAATGAAATATTTGACAATGTCAAACTTTTCTCATTTTATAAGGGCATTATTTATTGGTCCACTTGTTAGGATTTTCATTTTCTTTACGTTGAGGTGCAATCTACACTAAAGACTGTATCACTTCCTTATCGCTTCCAGCAAGCAAAAACTGTCACCTCCATATTGCACATTGTTAATGAGTCTTCCTCCAGTTCTTCATATAATCCAGTTTCTTGGATTATTTGCTCAGCATACAGATGAATAAGTAAGGTGAAAGCCTACATCCCTGACCCACACCTTTCCTGATTTTGTTCTATCCAAACAACTGCATCTTGGTTTGTGTACAAAGGTTCCTCATGTGCACAATTAAGTGTTTTGGAATTCCCATTTTTCTAAATGTTATAGTCCACACAATCAAGTAAGCATCTTTCTAGTATTCTCTACTTTCGGCCAAGATCCATCTGACATCAGCAATAATACACCTCGTTTCATGCTCTCTTCTAAATCTTGCTTGATTTTCTAGAAGCTCTCTGTCAATATGCTGCTGAAACCATTTTTGAATTATTATCATCAGCAAAATTTTACTTGCATGTGATATTAATAATATTGTTAGATGATTTCCTCATTCCATTGGGCCACCTGTCTTTGAAATGGGCACAAATAAGGATCTCTTTTAATTTGTTGAC